TTGTCACGGGCTGAGACTCAAACTCCAGGCCTATATAGCTTTAAGACCTAGGCATGCACTCATCCGGTGTCTCAGATCAGCCTACATGCCATGATTCACACCCTTATGAGGTATTGTCTGCTTTAGCCCCTCTCACCTTACGATTTTGTCCCATAGAAGGCGCCTCACAAGAAAAAGGTGTGTGAACCCTTTTATATCTAAATGACCCTCATTTCATGTTTGATGTGGGATTGGAGTACTTTACCTACTTCTCTTGAAGCACTTGGCATGACAATTTTACTTAAGTCAAATTGATATACTATATTAGGTTTAAAACTTTCTTGTGCGAAAGCTAACCCTTTTGGCTAACATAAAACATTATACAACAAATATATATCCTCTGATGTGATAAATTAAAGTGACTAACAATTTATGTATTTACTATGTTGTACAAAACATCCAAGAACTTATCACTCATGGTAGACATTAACTTATGATGACTTTTTTTCTCGTATATTGAAATTGAGTACAAAGGCCAATCAATGCTCTAAGCAAATAAGACTTTAATCGAGTTAATATCTTTACCAGTCTTATCAAAACAATCAAGGTGCCATAAATTTAATTCTGAACATTCTTTAAAAAAAAACATTATTCCTTTATGTAAGTGATACCTTAAAATAATGAAAAATATAAAGACTATTAAAAATATATCCCCTGTAGGCAGATAAATTCCCTAGGTCTATGTATATTTTCACTCCATAAAATATTTCACAATTATCTCTAAATTAAAAATATATATATAATTACCCCTTTTGGGTAGGTAATCACATGTCATATCTTAGGAACAATCCCATAACAAGATAAGAAATTTTATAATCATTATAGCTATATTGATTTTTCTTATGTCTATTGATACATATGATCACTCCAAGTGAAATACTTATTTAAATGTACCTCTATGAATCACTAAAAGTTAAAACCTAGAATGCCTATTATCATTTTATGCATCATAAAAAAAATTTCAAATCATGTTCCATAAGTCATGCTTTCAATCAATATAAATATTTAATATGCTATACTACCAAGTAAATTGTTTCAACAATTAATAATATTTTATTATGACATTTCAATCTTTCAAGCATGACTTCAAGAAATTTCAAAATAAAAAATTTTTAGGCCACAAAAATATCTTTCAATACATATACTTTATACATGAGATTCAATAAATTACACAATCTTCATACCATAAATCTCAACATAACGGTATATGATGAATGCCAATAATGCATATTTTCTAGACAATTATATACACATTATAATTATGGTATAAATCAATCTTATATACATGATAATGTTCATGTGAGGAATATAATATTTTCAATATTACCAAACATGAGTTGTGACATAAACATTAAAATAAGTTAATCTAGCAAGCCTTACTAACATTATATTTCAGTCAAAACTTTTAAAATATTGAAATTTGTAAAATTAATTTTACTTACTCTTATTGACTAAAACTTTTATTCGTATCCATTTACTTTCACAACTCATCCTTTTTTATTACCCAAGATCTTTATGGTAATATTTACCAAGTTTCATGTTACCAAAATACATGCCCCAAATATTTACTAAGAAATAAATTTTTACTTGCTGCTCTTTCAATATATTATAATATCATTATTATAAAATAATTAATATCTTATGAGAGTATATTTGATTTAGTAAGTATTTTGTAAAAGCAAAAAATTTTAAAAGCTAGTCTAACAATTTATGTGAAACAAATTCACTATCAATTATTTAACACATGTTATTTCTCATTACATAATTGCACAATTTTTAACAGCAATACTCTCCTACTGTTTTAGTAGACTAGCCTAAAATCTAGATGTCTTTCATAAATCATTATAGCTAATAATACTATATCATATGTTTATGAAAAATAAAAGCTTCAAAAATATATATCACATTTTGCACTATATTGGGCTTTAAACTTAATGCCTAAAATTTCAAACTATAATTATGTGATATATATAAAACTAAAACATTGTATTCATGCTAAAAATATTTATCACACAAATGCATGCTCTCAAAATAACCAAGCTTAATTTTACATGCCACATTTTGCATAAACATGATCTTTCATAAAATCACTTTATCAAATGATGATAAGTTGAAATAAAGTAATATAACAAACTTACTGACCATGCATGTGACAATCATTTTCATGGATTCATACGACTAGATAATGTTTAAAAGATTCACAAATTATCTTAAGTAAAAGACTTTTATTATCACAAAATGCAACATTTTAACAATTGGATAATAACCAACGAAAATGTTAACAATTATGTCTAAGAAAACACCTATAACTTAATTAAGCTCTAAATAAACTTTTATCATTTTTTTTAATTAGAGCTACTTAATTTTTATCTCCAAATCAACTTTAATATTTTAGGTAAAAGAATGTTAACTTTTTTATATGAGCAACAATCTATACAAATAGCACTAGCCAATGATGTGTTATTTGTAATTAAACTGAAAAGTCCAAGTACATCATCACAAACTCCCCTTTGAATAGAGAATATGACATGTGATTAGGTATTTTTCACATGAAGTCAATATGAAAATATTTTAGTTTTCGAAAAGCTAGACCTTCTAGACTAGTATACCATCGACCATGATACTTCATGTCCACTCCAAATTATCAAACATAATAACCCCATTTGGGCAGACGATTGTATAAGGTAATTTAACAATATTCCCATTCCTGTGTATAAGAAAATTTTGTAAATTTTAATGAGTGAGCTACTTTGGCAACCTAAAACTCACATTAACTAATTGTATATTCTCACACCAAGAAACTTAGATTGCTCATAACTTTAATTTGCATACTTAACTAAGTATATGCAATTTGACCACTCCTTATGAAATACTCAACCATGATGTATCTTTTTGGGTCATTAAATACTTAAAAGCTGATAATTCCTGTGTGAGACACTAATAATTAATATGTATCTTGATGGATCATTATAGGTATGATATTTTCTTATGAGATACTTAAATCGGGATGTGTCTCACTAGATCAATAAGTAATTTATTGCATTTAAACCAAGTGTCTTGAATTTTATGCATAATTTAATATTTCATTAAATATTTTATTTTTATCTATCATGTTCCAAAAAATAAAAATTTCACAAATTAACAATGATACATAATGTCAATATAGTCATGAAAAAAATAAATTATGGTAGCAATTTTAAACTTCAATTATTTCGAATAATAATAATTCAATATTATCTAATAATTAAATAAAATTATAAAATAAATTACCAATTTGATACTAGCTATACAAAAACTTCATGGAGTTCAAACCTAACTTGCCTTTAAGAATAATGCATGTTGGATTTTAAATGAATAGCCAAAAATTAGTAAAAACAAAATTTACTAAATTTGTTCAATTATGCACATAACTTCAGGTTGAAAGTACATAAATTTTAAACAACACATAGGAAGAGTTCGTAACTCCAATGGAATTACAGCAGGTCTAAATATTATATTATAAAATAAAATAACAAAATTCATGTGCATAAAATATAATAATTATTTAATCATGCATAAATATTATATAATAAATATTTTATGTCATTTAAAAATTTCATAAAAATAATAAATAAATGCGTTATAAAATTTTGGAACTAACAAAACAAACAACATAAAAAACAATGCCAAATTAGTCCAAACTAGTTAATTTATTAATCCTAATACTATTCATTAACTCGGTACTATGCTAACTCAGTACTGTTCACTAGTTGATACTGTTTTAACTCAGCTTTGTTCATTTTCTTCTTCCTCCAACTGGACCAACCCAACCCATTAGGAGCACAATTCAACCCGATTCATGTTTTAGTCCAAATTTCATTGTTTTTCTTAGTTTTTAATGCAATTAAACCCTTAAACATGCAATTACCACATAGATTTACAAAGCCCATGTCACAATTTGCATCAAAAACACATAAATCACTTTGAATTTGAGAATAAAATTTCATGTTCATAGCCATTCTTGACCCTTTTTTGTTACATAATTTTCTTTCTTCAATTTTTCATGATTTCCTTAAGTTTTAATGTAATCAAATGCTTTAAATTTTAATTAACACTTATATTTACAAAACTCTTGCTTCAAATTGCATCAAAACAACATAAATCAACATCAATTTGAGCCAAAATTTTCATATTAAAAAACTTATGCATAATCTAATTTGGTTTTTTTCAAGTTTGGGCATATAATCCAAAATTTTATGAAATTAAACACTTTGTTTCATCTTTATAGCACATGGGTAACAATATTCAAGAATCAATTTGAATTAGAATTCATAAAATATCAAGGTTTTAATTAAATCTTAAACTTGGTTTAAACTTGAACCAAAATCTTTAAAACTTGTTTTTTGTCTTTATAGGATGAAATAGGAAACACTCAATGCATAGCTTTAATCCTTTCATAGAGAAAAACAAAAGCCCAAATCTATTTTGAAAAATTAAGAACATAAAGTTGGATTGTGACAATCACAAAATTTCAACCAAAACTTAATTTCATTCGAAATTAAAATTTAAAAACATACTTTTTCGGTTCTAATATCACATAATTAGGCTTTGATACCACATGCAAATATAATTCTAAATCCCTAGAGTCATATGTGAATATTAGAATATCAAATTTAATCATATTGTATACTTGTTTAGGCAATCATAGTTAATAAGTGAAAACAACATCAATTTTTGAAAAAACTAGATCTTCCTCTTCACTATTCTCTTATTAGCATCTTTTAATGGATGAATACCATTACTTAGAAGTAAAAAGAAACCTTAGACAATTTATATTAAAACCCTAAAAACCTCCCCATAAAAAATTTACTTGGTTAAAGGCCTATACAACTACCAAATCACATTGACTCAATAAAACACGTAAAGCCCATACTTAAGTGATCACATTAAATTATTTGGATTCTCATGTTATATTCGGAGGCATGGAAGTTGTGGTTAAGAAACCAATAGTAATACTATTGGTGTTTATTGTATGGGCAATAGGGTTATCTAAGTCGCAATCTTCTTTATCATACAAAATGATTTACAGTTTGGGTGGTGCCCCATCGATTTTGGATTCTCAAGATTACTTTAATAACTGTTCCTTTTCAAGTCCATCTCTAACAAATAATACAATCAACTGTCACTATGCCATTCTTCAAGGAAGGAGAAACTATCAAGAAGATCGCCTCTTTTGCGACCTAAATATTCGTTTTCCATTTGTGGGTAAATTCCTTAAACACTTTTAATTCAGTATTATATTTTAATTTTAACAGGTTTATTTCTTATTTACAAGTAAATCGAAATCTGTTTTAGGTTTGACTAGATTCAATGTTTACCATTTTTACTGGTTTCAATCGGTTGGGATATTAATCGATGCAGGCAAGGAAGTTTCTATTGGAATGGCTGCAGTTTTTGATGGTCATGGAGGGGCTGAAGCAAGTGAGATGGCTTCAAAACTTGTATTGGATTATTTTTTAGTGCGTTCATGTTACATTCAATTTGAGATTAGAGAGTGAGTTTTACCTTTTCAACACTATTCCAAATTATTTATCGATTTTTATGACATGAAAACTTAATTATTTTCTCACAAATTGTTTTCCATGAATCAGTAATTTACTTGTTTCTTATTAATTTGAGTGATGAATGTTTGGAAAGAATGTTAGGTGTGGTTCCTGATGAATCCATGCATATGGGAATTTTGAAGGAAGCATTGGTAAGGACTATTCGTGACATTGATATTACATTTACTAAGGTAATTGCTTGCTTGATGGATTCTTCACATGTAAAATTTATTGGATTTAAGATATAAAATAAAAGATAAACACCTTCTTTTTATGAATAATTAGATTCGTGCTGTTGTTGAAAAATAATAAATGATAACCTCTTCGTACTACATAAAATTTGCATTTTTTATTCTCTCTTCGGGAAGCTTCCAAGAAAGGTTTTGTTTCAGGATGTACAGCGGTTTATAGTTGTTGTAGCGGATAATCAAATTTTGGTGGCCAATGTTGGTGACTCAAAAGTTGTTTTGTGCTCAGAGAAATTCTATTCCCTCGGAGGTTAGTATTTGTATTTACTTCTTATAGTCTACTCCATTCCTTATTTCATTAGATATAAAGTTGATTACTCAGCATTTGATTCAATAACAAGTACATATAATTTTTTTTAGAATTCAAAGAGTTAACTTTGATTTATTTATAGGCACTTGGTTGGAAAATAATGAGAAAGTCTCCTTGAAAAACAAGAAAAACACTGGATTGAAGTTTCTCTCAGGAAAAGAACTAACAAGAGATCACCATCCTGATCGGGAGGATGAAAGAAGGCGTATAGAAGCTGCTGGTGGCTATGTAGTTTCAGGAGTTAGCAGTGTTCCTCGAGTCAATGGTCGACTGGCTGTATCTCGAGCCATCGGTGATTTATACTACAAAAAGTACTCTTATATCTTTCTCATCAATTTTCTTTTAGGAGACTATGCTAACAGATTAATATATAATTACTAACACATTTTTTCTTGGCGTCGTACAGTTTTGGGGTTATAGCAGTACCAGAGATGACGGATTGGCAACCCCTAACTAGAAATGATAGCTATCTGGTGATCTCATCGGACCGGATTTTTGAAAAGCTAAATGCCCAAGATGTTTGTCAACTTTTACCCAACCCTCATATTCTGGATAGTGATGAAGGGCTTCGGTTATTCGATTCATGCCAATCCCCATTGCCTGAATGCATATCAAGGACGGTATATGAAGAAGGCAGCATGGATAATTTGTCTGTTATTGTAGTTCCACTACGAGAAGCTGGTTTAATTTCATGAATCATAAGGCTTGCCTACTAAAAGTTTTGGGTTGAAAACAAATGCAATTGTGATCTAGACATCAGATAAGTGGAAAAAGAATAGCACTTCTAGCATTAGTTATCAATGTATACACCAACGATGAAGTTTTGAGAGTTGTTTTTTTACAAAAAAAAAATATAGTTTTATCAGATTTCTCGATCGAACCTTACTTTTGCATCAATTAGGAACACATCAATTACTTTATAATGTACGATTCTATGCATGTGAATAGTGATGATGAGTGTATTAAAAAGTAATGAAAAAAAAAAAAAAAAAAACTCCATTGGATATCTATCTCATTCAGTGGGAAGCTGGAAGTAAGGATGCTGCAGAGCATCGGCAGTACTTATCAGGTGCATAAGCCCAACAATATTCTCCAGACTATAGATAGATTCTACTAATTAATTAGAGTCATGCAAAGAGAAATTAGTTTACAGGGCTAGTGATCTTTTTGGAATAAAATGAAACTCGAACAGTCATGCATTCTACTGGAATTTCCTAACATAGACCCACCCATCAAGATAAGGTAGAACTAAGAAATGGTCAAATTGCTTTACCAGGTTGAAATCATATGCTTAAGTACCCTATTGTTTGTTAATCAGTTAGGTCAAAGTTTATCCGGCCCAAGTTTTAAGCAGTTGGGCATGAAAAAGCTGTCCTAGCAAGTATACTACTTATAAGCTGCCTTATCCGAATCAGAATAAGAACAGTCGCAAACTCTACTCAGCGAAGGTTCAAATATGTTTTAAAAAGTATGTTCTTAATGTAAAAAGCATAGTAAAAATGTAACAAATAAGAAAAGTCCCATAGTTTACTTTCTTTTGTTTTAGACACTTGAAGAAACAAAAGTGTATTAAAGAGGTCAACATGCAATATCAGCCAATATTGTTTCTCTTCAAATCTCTGTTCGCCTACTATGAATGAGCTAAAAAACCGTAGGCTACGGAGTGTACAAGTTACAAAAAGTGCTATGGACATTTATAATTATTCTAAACACAGAGCGGACAATAGGTGATTGTTCGCTAAGATAGTTGAATTTAAATGTTGCGATAGCTAACTCAATCTGATCAACAAGCTTAAACTGTCTGTACCACAATCTGACCTGACACTAATTGATTATAAACTAGCTGCCCAAACCACAAATGACCTGAACATGAGACAACCTAAATCCATAGTGATTTGAATTTGAACCTGTTTAAGATCTGCTTCTAGAGTAAGAAAGGGGAAATTTTGATCCCATGCCATAATCCCAACCCAAATTTAATTCAAAAGTGAAAGACCTGAACAGACCATACTTGAACTTGCATGGAAAAGTGAAATATAAATACACTAGCTATATAGCTCCAAAGCTTACAGGATCCCAATTTAACAGTTGGCGAACTAATTGCAGCGCCCACACATTCGGAAACCTGCAGAAAGTTAGAAATCAATAGACAAAAGTTTAGAAGCTACTTAATGGTGAGAGAATAAAAACATGTAGCAAAAAATAGACATACCTTATCTTAAGAGGATCTCTACTTTTAATTTGACTGGCAAATACCTCTTCAGAGCATGTCCTTGAAGTTGGAAAGATACCCTTGCACAGAAGATAGAAAATAAGTAGCATTTTAGCATAAAAACAAGATGAAAATGAAAGAAAGTAGAAGGAATCTAATACCAGGCAACATGTCATTTTTTTATATAGCAAAGATACCAAGAACCAAACTCAACATGTGCTGCAGGATTCTGATGCAAAGTCCAAGATGGAAGGAAAAGAAAAAAGGTCTTGTCTTGTAATTGTTAGAAAAAATAAATAAGAGAAGAGAAATAATAGAAAAGAATTTTGGCTTTGAGACATGAAGAACATTTTCTTAAAAGAAATTATGCCTTTAGGATACAATAAAGCCTCAAACTCTCCAATCAGAAGCAGTGAAAATGGTTATATTAAAAGATTTATTTATAATGAATGAACAGACATAAATTTTTATTCAGATAGTTATGACCTTCAATATAATCATGACCTTTATGAATAATAATATATTTATATTCAAATAGTTATAACCATTTATCATATGATAATTTTTTCTGTTCAAACATAATTATTTAAAATATGAATAAAATTAATACAAAAATTAATTTTATTCATCAATAATTAAATCTTTCAATCCAATGTGGGATGCACCAAATTCTAAACTATTATGGCCATGTGCTTATCCTATTCATAAACATTTACAAGAAAGACTCCAAAGATTGAATATTTAATATAATCACTTCAGGCTAATATGTCCAAACTTTTCATTTTATATATCATTTATATGCTCCAGATATTGTTGCCTCATTCTTATCATATTAAGAAATAGTTAGTTTTGGTTGTGGCCACAACTCTATATTTATTAATTTCAACCATTCTATTTTCATACTTTTATACATTTTTAATATAATTATACTTCTAGTATAATTGGATAAACTCAATAAATAAACCAAATAATTTTAGTCCTTTTAAGATTTTTAAAGACCTTTTTATGATGTTACTTTAATAAGTGTTTAAACTTATTAGCTTGCATAATTTGCTCATAAAATTATACTAAAATCTTACAACACTATGGTGGTAATTTTAATTTCTTTTGATTCTTATCACCCCTGCAATGTGCAAATATGCATTCTTTTATTAAGGAATATCTCATTCAATTATCAAGATATCATATATACTTAATTAAGTTGCCATTTCATTTATCTTTTCACTATTTGGTGGTTTTTTTTTTTAAGTAGAAGGCCTTCAATCCACCCTTAGTGAAAGATAATTAGCTGATATCTTAATATTTCAATAAAAGTTCCAAAACTTTTATATTTTAACTCAATATAAGAGTTTAAATTAATAAGCAGATTTCAAATATAATCATGCTTCTATAGTATCCTTTTAAGACTTTTGTTTTAATTCATAAATATTTATATGAATCTATTTCATCATGAACACTATTAATAATTTTTTATTACCATGAACAAAACTGTTTTCATCACCTAAATGGATCAAATAGCATTCTTTTTGCTATTATAAAAGTTTTCAAATTCATAAGATCTTTGAATCACTCATGGCTTCCAAAGTAAATATACTTTGAAAATTTCACTATATAAAACTATAAATGATAAATCATTTGTACAATCCATGAAGTAAACTGTATACAAAACAAAAATTACCACAACATGATTAAGATTGTGGCATCAATTTTGGCTTATGGCTATTCTAAGCCAACCATAATAATCCACCTCATACCTACAAATCATTTAGATTTAGCTATTAAAATTATCTCATTTATAATAATGGCTTTTAGTGAAAACAACTATCTCAAATGTTATCATGAGTTTGCAATGCATATTGTAATTGCCTAATGGCCAATTCCAAGTTCATGATTATTGAAACCTCTAACTTGATTTCAAAATTTTATGAGAACTTTATTTTTCCACCATTGTGTAGCATATATATCTCTATTATTTACCACTTTTAATTAGTTAAAACTTTTTTGGATATATAATAAATTCAAACTTTACTCAAGACCAATATGCCTATATACAATAAGAGTCTATAGTATATTTAACTTCAATTTCAAATACTTTCATAATCATTTTATGATCAATATGTGCATATCTAGATCACCAAATCACTGCAAGTCATGAAACATAATCCAAAAAATCATTTTCATAAACTAGTATAAACAATAATTATAATATAAGTTCTACTCATATTTCATGCAAAAATCCGTTATGAATTTGTATTGGTTAAATCATTGATTGGATAACTCTAAGGCTTACAGCTTTCACAAACCAATATTATTATCTAAGCCCATATGTTAATTGGTATATAACCAGCCATATCCTTGCCATTGTCATAAAACTATTGAAAACCTCAGAACTTATTCACTTTTCATTTTAACAGCTTACAAAAGGTCATTTTTTCGGGTATAAGAAGCAAAAATACTTTCATTGTCTTTAACCAATAATGTATTAATGGGATGATGGCATTCTATCTCGATAGTCCATATCTTTCTTATATGTATAAGAAAGAAATTCCATCTCATTAACTGTACCAATATTCTCTATGTTATCACAATATAAAATTAAACACATGCATGTATTGGTGCCTTTGGAATATTGAATTTGCATATTCTTTTCTAATTTATAAAAATGCCAATTATACATTGACAAGCATCATTCAAAATGCTAGTAATAGACAAATCTTCAATATATATATTTTTATAGCATGCCTTTTCATTTAATCAATATCCCATATACGAAAAGCAACAATGCCTTTTTGTAACAATTGATTAACTCTTTTACGATTTTATATGATTTTCACTTTGTGATTATTTACAATAAAATTTTATTTTGTAAAATCACTGCTAGTGTAATAGGCTCAACAGGTAAAATAAATGTCGCAATGCCTATGTTTCTGATGATAATCATTATTTGGTTTATTATCTACCAATTAATCCATGAAACATCATATCTTAATAATAATTATTCACATATATCAATTTAATTTTAATTGGTTTTCATGAAAATTAAACACTAGTCAAAATTTGAACCAATAATAAATTTTAAAATATATACATCAACATTTGATTTATAAATAACCAACAAAAATATAATCATACAAATAGCTTGACTCAATTTATTATCTCAATTTTTGTGCATTGATTTAATAATAAAACTAATCTTGTAGTCAAGTCTTATTTTCTGTATATATTCTTTACTTGCATCTAATTTCTCAAGGTAAATTCCTTCCTTTACCCATTTCTGATTGTTTTCATAGAAACAATCGGACAAGTTGCCTGTTCTATGTATAACCAAGACATGACAATTAAATAATTGGTCATTCCTTTAGAACCTAATTTAATTCATTACTTGATAACAAGTGATAATTCTTTTGATTGTAAATCAATTCATGTCTTTCTTTTTTATGTTTTCAGGCTATTTTCCATCCTAGTCTTTATAAGCATCAATTTTTCAAATAAATATAATATAATTCATTAAACCCAATTATGAAGTCAATTTCAGTATATGCACAAACTTATGCAATGTAATCAATAATTTGTATATTGTGTTTTGACTTTACACACTAATGAAATAAATTGTTAACATATTTATCTCATTCAGTCAATCTTTTAACCAACAATTATAAAAAAAAATAAAATACATACCTTTAATGAAGATCTTTGTGAAAATTAATATTTTAG